CAGTTAGTTACACGAATTCAGATATGCAGCTTTAATAAGTTGTACTTACGCACAATCTACTTGCAATCTTGAGTTTTAAGTAATATGCATTAACAAACAGTAATTTACACATAAAAAGTGGTTTTTAAGAGTTTTTGTCAAATGTTTTATAATATTATATATATATATATATATATATATATATATAGGGTTGGATTCACATGAGACCAAGGATTTTTCGTGAGACCCGTAAAACCAATTTATGTTCATTGATCAACTTTATAAGCTAATGATCTAATGTCTAAAGTTGCACGGTGACAATTTTGTGATTATTGAGAAGTCTCGTGGCAATTTTATGTTTATAAATGTTCAGATTGTAGATTTAATTCAATGGTTGAGAATTGGTCTTACGGATCTCACGAAAAACCCTTGGTCTCATATGATCCCAAGTCTATATACATACACACATATATATACACACACACATATTAAAACTATTGGTAAAATAATAATGAATGTTTATATTTAATTTAAAAGTTAACTAAGATTGCTTATTCTTAATAAACAATGTAACTAGTCAATAATACGGTGTAGGATGTAACTTCATTTCGTATATTATCTTAGAAATTTAAAAAATTGGAATTTTTTTTCTCGGATAATTATATTAAACTCTCTAAAATAAAGAAAAAAAAAGAAAATAGAAAAATCTTCAAATTTATATATAGAGAGAGAAAAATGTGAGTTATTATGCAACATTTTACATTTATACAACCAATACAACTCAATCGTTCATTTAATTTGATGAACATGTGATTTCATAAAAGTTTTGATTATATACTAATATAAAATATTGATCATAATTAATAAATTTTAGTCATCTTCCATAAATATTCAAATTATAATAAATGAACTCTCATCATTTTCATAAATATCTCAATTAATTTAATTGCATTGATTATACAAATAAACATGGTTGCATTTGAAATATAACTTATATTATATATATATATATATATATATATATATAACTTGTTGAAGATACTAATAGATACTATTAAACGGTGACTCTTTTTATACAAATAGATTGCATAAAAAATATAACTAAATTCATATTCCCGTTAATTCTATTTTGGGTTTATACAATTTATCGTCTCTTCAAACCTAACTTCTATTTCAAAATTTGGACCAAATTTTGAAACCTACCAAACCGTTTTAAGTTAATCTACTAGGATTTGCCAAACCCGAGTATTATTAATGTGTGTGGTATGTTTAGTTTATAAAGTGTTAAAACTAGGTCTCAATTTGGCTGATATGTATTGTTTTAAGCCTACCAAACCCACCCAAGGATGCACATGACTAACAATATGTCAATAACTACACTACAGGATATTAATGAATTATTATGGTTTGTTTTAATTATTATTTTACTAATAATGTTTTATTATTATTAACCAAAAATGCATCTTTAATCAACCAAAATTGATAAACTATAATACTGACAGATAATTGTAATAATGTTTGCTAATGATTGCTGATAAAGAATACATAAAGTTTCAACTTTTAATTATTTAAATAACAGTTCGCTATTGGTAACAAGAAAACAAAATAGATAGTGGTAACTTTTATGTTACACTTTACATAATATATACATATATATGTATGTATATGTCGGAGCTTCGTTTGAGGAGAACTAAGATGAGACACGTATAAAAGGATATGTATTCTTGATTGTTTTTAATCTCAAACACACTCATGAATCACATTTGATACGAGGATTGATCCAATGCATCTCATCTTAATCTGCATCTAAAAGTGAATGTCTCTTTTTACGTTTCTCACCTTAACTATCTTTCTCACGATAACTCAACTCTTACATGTGTATATTAATGTTTCTAAGAATATATATAAGTAGAAATGTATTTAACAATATATAATTATATACAGATGTATTTGGCCTATTTTTTTAATTTGAAAGGAGTATGATTTGGAGTGGTGAATGGAGTGCCATCATCATCAGCCATTATCAACCATACCCCACCACCCTGCCGCTCCCCTACCCCCTCTCCTCCTCTCTCCTCAACCTCCCAGGTTCTTTCTTGCTGGAAACAAATTCTTAAAAACCCATCTCATTTCTTCATTCAAATTCAACAATTCCAACCTCAATCTGCTTCTATCTATCTCTGAGTACGTATTTTTCTCCTTTTTCTTGTTTTTAAATCTACTGTTTGTGTTTCAAGTTCTCGATCTGCTCCTAGATCTCACTTTATATTTCAATAACTTCATCGGTATATGTGTTTGTTTGGAGGTGAATCTGTTGTGGGATTTTGATTTTGGAACTGGGTTTTGCTATTTATGATGTATAATCAACATATCATATAATAATTATGTGATTTGATTTACATACCTTTCGATGAATCTGACTAGTTTCAGCACCAGATACAGATCTTGGTATTGAATTAGTCTCTTAAGCTGCAAGAAAACATCAAATGTTTAGTGGGTGTTTGCTTCATGCTTCAAGAAATCAAAGAGATTGTTGTTAGTCACTGTGAAAAGAAGTAGGAATAAAGAGTAAGAGGGTTATATAAATGGTTGCCATGAATCAATTATTTCCCCATATGACTATAAATGATTCTAGTTCCTCCATCCCTTAAATATTATAGCAATTTGTATTCTGTTCCAAGAAGATTTGGTCTTTCAAATGCCAAAAAAGCAAGAGGCTAAACTCATCTTTCCTATGCGTAAGGGTTATGTATTGGCACCTTATAGTTTTCACAAACTTTTGTTAATGATAAGCATTTCCCATTTCAAATTCTCCATGCTTCATAAATGAATGTTTACATGGTTCTCACTTTCGATTTATTTGTGTCGTCTATTTAGGTTAAACAACGATATGGGCCTTTCGCCGTACTCGAATCCATCTGATGCTGGAGTTCTGTGTGTAATTCTGGTTAACACAGCCATGTCTATATCCATCATGAAGGAAATATTATGTTCAATCCTTCATGTCGTGGGAATCCGTTTAGCATCGTCCAATCCAGCCTTCACGGAATCATTAGAACCACGAGGAAGCCCGTCAGAAGTTTATATGGAGGAGTTCAGAAACCAGACCCCATCACTCCGTTACATCTCCCTCTGTCGTGCCACCAATCAAGAATGCTCTGTTTGCTTAACCGAGTTCAAACCAGATGCACAGATAAACCATCTTTCTTGTGGGCATGTTTTCCATAAATCTTGTCTTGAGAAATGGCTAAAATACTGGAACATTACTTGCCCTCTATGTAGAAGCCACATGATGATTCCTAAAGAAGTGGAAGAAAACACTTGTCCAATGTGAAGGTTTAAGTACAGTTTAGTAGTGCTGGTGCACAGGGGAGTGCAATCAGTTTCTACAACGAAAACTTACCTTTTTTGTAGATATCAATTTGTGTAAGGTTTCCGGTGCTGTATGCATCTGAGAAACTGAAAAGCTTTCTTCTTTTTCTCGTTTGTTCGAGTTTTAATTGGAGAAACAGATCATGTTTCTTCCTCATCTAATCTATTTATGCTACAAATATTGAATGATCTTCAACTGTGCATTCTGTGCTATGATGCAAAAGAACTGCTTTCAGCTTCTCCGGGAGTTCTTGAAGACATGGTGTAAGGTGTGTTTGTTTTCTGAGAGCTTGGTATCACTTTGTAAGAAGTTAAAATTATATATGGTAAAACCCAAACACACTCCTCACATTTGGTGGAACTTGAACTCTTAGACCTCCAGTGAGGTTGGAATTTATCAGTTACCCGGGTACTACTAGGCCAATGACCCTCTGGTAAAGAAGTTAAAATTTGGGTCAGTTCTATAATCCACAATCACCCGAATCATCTCCAAACCAGTCTGACCATTACATCCTTGAGATTTCTATGTTTCGTAGTGAACCTAATTGGTTATTTCCAAGCAATAGTTAGAAGTGGTTTATCTCAGATTATGCAAAGCAATACTATCTGGCTCAGAAGGAAAGAAATGTATAGTTTCCATATCAGAGTTGTCCAATTGTTAGAATATATTGCTGAACTAATTACGCAAGTGGCAATATGAGTGCATAGAATCAAAAACGCATACTCTTAATAACTTAACTACACGTGTGAAAGTTCATTAACATAAGAATGTCACCAGCAATCTAGGAAACGAAGAATAAAGTGCCAAGAAAATCAAGGGTGTACTTGATTTATTCACTAGGTTGCAATTGTCTGAACTGATAGACATGTTGGACGGCTCAGAAAGTTTAAAGCCAACTGATTCGCTCTCAAGTTGGTAATCTTGGAAAGCTTAGAACCCACTGATGTGCTCTTCCTGTGGAACCAACATGAGTGGTCGGTCCTCCAAAAGACTTTTTAGCTCGATGTGAACTTTGGACCTCAAGTATCTAAACATGTGCATGTGTCCAATTATAATCGCCAGAAATGTGTAAATTATGATAAAGAAATGAAAGAGAAGTTACCTTATGGCAATGGCAGAATCTTTTATCATTTTCCAGTTGTTTTCTAGATTATGTTTTTACAAGTTCCTTGTTGATCTTCCACAGAACCAATTAATCGCCACAGCACCCGTCTTCAAAGGAAGGACCTTTGTGTCACCACAGTCGATCAAAACAGAGTAACCAAACCACTGTATATCGGTTTAGATGAATCTTCCGAATTTGAGATTTCTTTATAACCTAACAAAGCGTGGGTTTTAAAACTTTGTGTAATTTCTGGGTGCCACGTATAAATAACACTAATTTGTCAAAATGGGATATCGCACGTTTATGCTCCCATTAAAGCTACATTGTTCAAAATTTTCATTTCACAACTACACTAGAAGTTGAGGAAAATATACAAGTAACAGGGCTTTCTCCAAACCTTTTTTTATGAAAGATTTACAATCCCCTGTAAGGTTAGTTAAAATCACCTTGGTTTTTTCCAGGGCTCTGTAAAGAATACCTCAAATACTTCCTAGAATAGTAACTCTATGCTATGAGCTTTATGTGGACGAAGATGAAGCCTTGATCTGGATTTCATTCGTGCTAAGATCCATGCTTCTTTGAACCATATCTTGCAGTAAACCTTTTGCAGTTTCTGTTGTTTTCTCGGAGCCATCAACCCTTGCTGCGATATCATACACAATCTTCTCCAAAACAGATGAGCTCAGTCTCTTTTCTGGAGGACTATCCCTGAGTAAGTCCAATAGTGTCCTAGCCTTGTCCTGCGCTTCGTTGGTCCCATACACGGTTAATCGTAACAGCCCAGGAATCGCACCTTCATTCAAAATGAGTTCCCTGTATTTACTTCTGCAGCTTAGGCATAATGCAAGTAAAGCACTGACTGCATGTTCGGTGCTAACTAGAGATCCATCTTCAATCGTCTCTACTAATGTTAGTATCCCATCCTCAGAGTTTGTGATAGCAAATCTTCCTTCTTCAGAATTCGAGAGGATTTCGATCAAGGCTGTGGTTTTTTCAGCAAATTTGGATGATTTTTTGCATTCTTTGAGGAGGTTGATGAGAGGAGGGACTGCTTTAGCATCAGAAACAATAGTCGGCTCTTCTTTCGAGGCCAGGAGGTTATAAAGGGCAGTAACAGCATCAACCCTTCCTTGAACACTTCCACAGCTGAGGATTTGGACCAGTAGCGGTATCACTCCGGAGTTTGCTATGGTCTGTTTGTTGGGTGGGGCCGCTGATAACGTCAAAATTGCAGCAGTGGCTAATTCCCTCAAGGCACTGCAGTTCTGGAACTTGAGAAGCTCCACAAGAGGTGGGATAGCACCACAGGTCACTATTTGTTCTTTGTTTCTGAAATTTAATGTGGATATAGAACTTGTTAGCCGAACAAACAATCTACTAAGCATGCCTTGTACAACTAACAATAGGAGTTGGAGAAGTAGAATCTCGCATTCACAGATCTAACATCTGAACGTGAAAATAAGGAAACAGCATCCTTCAAAATATAGCATATTGTCGGTGAAAGTTTAAATAAGATTGTTGCATGCACATCTGAAATTCAGCAAAAACTGTGATTCAACTGAGACCTCCCCTCCCCCCTTCCTTTCCCCAAACAAGAAAATGATTCCTGCCCTCTGAGAAAAGAAAAGGGTCCACCTTTCAAACTAAAAAATGGCATATTTTTTTTATAATATTTCCATCTCCGAAGTGATGCGATTCTAATACAGTTTTTTTCTACATAAGCAAAACAATGTTTTTGATAATCTATAAGCTAAATACAACCATTTGAAAGTAAAAACCAAATAATACCTTTTTTTGTTTTTGTGATGGAGGTAGTAAAAATGTTTTCTAGTGCTACAAAGCCCAAGGAGAAAATCCCAAAGGTTACAAGATAAGTAAGGCCGACCATAGATAAGTTGCTAAACTGTGATGTAGCCTATATTTGTCCTAAAATGCAAGCAAGGTCCACAGCTGGTCTTTGTGGCATCTTTAGCAAAAATCTGTACATGCAAGTAGTTAACATAGCATAGTTACATGACTTGAACATCAAATACTCTTCCCTGTACATTTTATTGCTCAAATGGCAACAAATTTCATGGGGAAAAGGGAAAGTAAGATGGTGGTCCTCAACATTTGTTATTTAGAGATATAACCTAGCAAATGCATGTTTTTATCCCCAGTAAAGGTGTTCTTCAACACACCATTCAGTTGAATATATTAGTCCCAACATAAAATCAAAGACAACACTGCAAGTTGAACACTAGCTTGAGGATGCAGTATCAAAATCAGCAGGGCAACAAACGGACTCAATGCAAATGAATGATCTAGATACTCATGCTAAATCAAACAAACAAACCCAAAATCACACCTGTCTCTATTTCAAACTTTTTTCTAACTTTTAGAACCAAATATTTCTTGTAAAATCTTGTTTTCTAAAACCTTTTACAAGCAGGGGTCTTTACAATAAATACCCTATCTACCTGGCAGGTAGAGGTAAGGTTTGCGTACATTTTACCCTTACTAGACCCTACTCCGTATAGGACTCACTGGGTTTGATTGATTTGATTTACCCACTACCACAGCTTATGAAAATTTTGTCCTATTTTCCCTTTAGAATCATCTCCGCTAATTCCATTTTTGAAACAGGTACTTCAAACAAAGTGGTGTAATTTATGTACAAATACTTGCGCCAAAGATCTAAATGTCAAACGAGCAAGGGACAAAATCATCACATTTTATTATGAAATAAAGTATATTTAACAAAACCTCTCTCATCAGTGCTAGAGAGCTGTTAGAGTGCCAACTGCAGCACAATTCTCTCCAGAAGGTCGGAGAACTAACAGAATCTCATACTTGCCTTATAAGTGCCTATTTACCGATAGCGTTATCCATGTTTCATTCAGTAGGTGTAACAGGTGGAGGGGAAGACATTTTGATTTTTGCCCCCTTTTATGACGTATTTGGGTGGTGAAGCAAGGTAGTGGTAATCTGCATAAACGGAAACTAAAAATCTTAGCTTAAATCATGGGTCAAGAGACTAAACAAATTGCTTTGTATGAGAAGCCATATTTAATGCAGCAATAATCGACCTTGCCATCACGCCGTAATCCACGATGTCCTTATATAGGTGGAAGTTGGAATATGGAAAATATAGGTGGAAGTTGGAATATGGAAACTACCCTGACAACATTAACGTAAGTTCTCCATCTTCCTATTCAAGTTTTCATACCCGACTCCCATTCTTCAATCCAGCCTTCCCAAATCACAAGTACCAGTTTCCTTTTCGGATCATCCTTCGTTTTTAAAGGCACTCTATCACAGCTATAATTAACAAAAGTTGCTAGAAATCACCACTAAATAAAACAGTGATTTCAGGGAAGTGTTAACTTGGCACCTCCTACCTTGTGCCTGACAGATCTTTCATGACACAGCTTCTTCAGAAATCTGATCACCCTAGCTTCAAGGAGAAAGTACCTCATTCCGAATACAATTAGCAATTTGCTAAAGCAGAACTTTCAAAATAAGGCTCCTTAGTAAAACAGAGCAAGCCATTAGATTCATATTGCTCTCAACCCTCGGCATCAAAACAAAAATAGCAGACACCTAAATATCAGAATCACTAGGACTTTCACACCAACACACACCATCACACCAAGAATATTTCATAGCAGACTATGTCTTGATGAATCAATAATAACTCATCTAAAACCCTAAACGTCCAGATAAACACACTATTTGCTGTCTTACATCAAATTCTTGTAGAACTTCTGTGTTCATTGTGATTCCTAGACGCAGAAGAGACTCCAATTGTAGGGATTTGGCGAATCTACATACATGTCCTTACATTTGAAACAAACAATACATGAATGATTAAATACATACCTTTCGTTTCTAGAAGCAAGATTGAGGAGGGCAAGTAGGGAAACTTGGCGAGCGTCGTAGTTTCTGGAGTAGAGCATGAGAATAAGCGGCTGTATAACGCCGGCAGCAGCGAACTTGGCACGGATGTTGACGGAGGAATTTCGATTTCGAATCATACTCCTAATCTCCCTTGCAGCGTGAATCTTGGTGAGGAGATCACCATGGATGATCTTAGCGGATATTTCATCGATCAGTGTTTGTTTCTTGTGATTGAATGCTCCATCTTCCTCTCCCATATCTCTCTGCTCAATCTTGCCTTCTCTTTCTCTTCTCTTCTCTCTGGGATGGGAATTGATTCAGCTTGGGGCCACCGGATTTTTACTCCACGGCGGCTATGCCACTCACCCCTATTTTTTTCTATGTATAATTCTATCTGTAGGAAGGTGGTGTACCGCGGTTTACCTATAAAAAACAGGTTATTGACTTTATTATATTTCTTATCGGTAATAAGCATTTTTTAGTTATTTGATAAAGAGCTTATAACGGTGTCAAATCGATAATAAGGAGTTTTTGAAAAAGTTAAACCATTTTAACCTATAATAAATTAATAAGGACTTTTGTAAAAAATTATAAGTTGTTTTAAATAAGCAATCCCAAAATACCTCTTAAATAATAAATTTAATTTTACAAATAAAGTAAGAGAAAATATTAAGGGGTTGTTTGTTTACCCTTTAATAATTCCACTAAGAGACGGTATCTGAATTGTTAAAAGATGAATCTTGTTTGACAAAAAAAAAGTCTGTCTCACAGTGGTTCCAAAACTCTCTGAATAATCTTGTATCATGGACCTCCCTTAACCATTCAATGCCCTAATTTCTTTACAAACAATTACCAAATAAATTATATTTCAATTTGCACTATATCATGAGAGTCTCTTAATCATTCTGACCATTTAATTATACTACATCAAACCATTCAACAACTGTCAAACAGGCAAAGAATCTCTAAATTGATATTTGGACAAACTACATTATTAAGAAAAAGATATATTTTAAGTGTATTTTAGGAAAACTATAACTTTATAATTTCTCTTGATTTAAAATATGATTTAGGGTCTGTTTATCAGACACTTACTCGGGTAAGCACTTATCAAATCACATTACTTTAGCAAATGAATATGGAAGGACCATGAATCTTACTTGGTAAAAGCGAGACAAGGACCAAGAGTCTTACTGGGTAAATTGTTGCATACGATGCCGTTTTGGTGGACTAAAATCTTACTCAGTAAATAAATGATAGTGTTATATTTTATCCGTAAACACTTACCAGGTAAGTGTTTGGTAAACGGCTCCTTATACTAGTTTATTATTAAACAATATCTTATTTGTAGTGCAGTTGGTAAAGATGTGAAATGATTTTATGTAAATTTATCTTTAAACACATATGCAAGACTTTTTTAAAGCAGATAAAACTTTTAAAAACCTTTAAATTATATTAGTTTTCCAATAAAATTTTACGTCTCGTTATATTTGGACAAAAAGTTAATTACGAACAACTCTAACCAACTCTACATGGAACTCATCTTCAAAGACACTAAGGGGTCGTTTATCAAACACTTACCCGGTAAGCATTTATCGGTAAAATTTAACATTATTATTTACTTACCGGGTAAGATTTTAGTTCACGAAAACGACATCATATGCAACAATTTATCCGGTAAATGCTTATTGTGCTAAGAGCGGTCGCCTTCACTTACCGGATAAGACTTTTGGTCCATGTCTCGCTATTACCAAATAAGATTATTGGTTCTTATCATATTCATCCGGTGAGGTAATATGACTTGGTAAGCGCTTACCCTGATAAACATTTGGTAAACGGCCCCTAACATAAAGAGTTATTTTTTTTTTACTGAAAACAGTTGAGCTAGCTGAAGGTTTGGAATTGTATCTGGGATTTATCTTGTATTTGAACAAAGTCGTTTAATCTCTTTATCAACTAAGCTATAATCTAATATTCTTGCACAACCAATTTAGGACAAATTGCACAACCAAAACTTCCATTTTGGTACTTAAGATAATAAGTTTTAAACATTTAAGTACTCAGGTAATCGGTTGAATACTAATTTTCGATTAAAAAAAATCCATGTCACTAGCTCTTTTTTCCTGACCGGGTCAATAAAGTTATGAACCATCTAATTCTCCGGAAAGGATTAATTGAAAGCCTCTGATTATATCAGCATGATAACCGGTTAATTCTTCAATCAGTTACTCAGGTACTTAAATGTTTAAAATTTTACATCTTAGATTTCGAAATGAAAGTTTTGAAAGTACGTTACCTGAAATAATAATTAAATTAAAGTACGTTACTTTTTTCATGCAATTTACCCATCAATTTAATATAAAAACTGATGGTCAATAAAATATCAACTACAACTAAAAGAATACTTATGTCATGTGATGAACACCAATAAGAATATAAGACAAAAACCATATTTTGGATTGAAAATTTACGATAAGACTAAGCAAATAAATCTAAAAGAAAAAAAAATAGAAAATATTTAATAAAAAATTATAAATTAATATATAATAGTATCTCGTAGACTTGGAGTGGGAATTTGGATATGAGAATCTAAACAAGAAACATAACGACAACACATGCATATTTACTTTAAATAAACATTATAATATATCATTTAGCTTCACGAGCTATAACACTTGGCATTAAAAGTATATTCCATCATAAATACCGGGAAGAATCAAACGAGGACATGATTAATATAAATAAATATGAAAACATGTCAAATTATATGTGATTTTATACTGATCACATATCATGAAACACGGTAAAAGTCGAGGGTGCTTAGGCGACTTGGATAGGACGCAGCCAAGGTCGCACATGATCACAATGTGATTTTACAATGAGTTTAATGTAAAATCACATGTGATTTGACTGTTCTTGTATTCTTTTATTTGATTATTATTCTCGTTGTACATATATGGAGGCGGGTTCAATTGAAAACCGATTTTCGGTTGTGAACCGGGGGCAAAGGAGAGTGTAACATGTGTACAAATCATTCATCATGAATAGTGAATAAATTTAATATGGATCATAATCATGTATTATTCTTTGTGAATGTTGTATCATTTATGAATAGTTCATGAACGTTCACCTTCGTTATTCATACGAATAACCTTCGCTATTCATGCTGGACATGGAATCCAAAGACACATGTCGCACTCTCCATTGTCTCCCCTATTCACAACTGAAAATCGGTTTACAATTGGACTTTTCTCTCTCTCTCTCTCTCTGTCTATCTATATATATATATATAATATATAAATAAGCAATCTAAGGTTTACATAATTACAAAATAGCAACAGATAACTAGAGAGAGACATATTCTCTATCCAAAAGATGCCCAAAAAATGTGTGAAAAGTAAAAATTTTACCAGAAAATAAGTAAATTAGAAAAAGAACTTGAGACAACATGATTGCAAATGATGAAATAGAAATAATGAGTCAGATTTTAAATGTTGTTTTTAATTATACCCAATAATAATAATACCAATTACAACACTTCAAATACATCCTTTCAGTTCTTGCTATCAAAATTCACTTTACAGGCAACACTGAAAGGGGCAAAAAAGGAAGAAAAAAAAACAAGAAGCACCACAGCCTCTAACCCTAATTGTACCATCATCATCATCATCCTCATCATCATCCATGAGTCCTATGAAACCTCCATTTCAAAGCAAAAAGATAGCACAATAATCTATCTTTTTCTTAAAAATGGTCATTTATCCCTTACAATTAGAGGGTTTCATATATATTTTTTTTATACCCTCCAACATAATCAATCTATCAAAAATTCCAGCCTCCTATAGATGATTTACACTCAAATCCAGCCACTGGTGTATCATTTCTTTTCCAAATCCATACCTTTTGTTGGAATTGGATGTGTTTTTCATCCTTCATTTTGTTCAGCATTCCTTCAATAGTTATTAGGCCAGTTGATTTGAGCAGGTTGCGGTTGCTGATACACACCACCACCACCCGCCATGTCAACACCACCACCACCACCTGCCGCCGCCAGTGTTTGGGACTGTTGGAGAAGTGGGTGAACAGCTCCGGTGGTTACTGGTTGTGCAGGGTGATAAATACTAGCAAACGCACCATGGCCCGCTTGTGTTGGGGTGTATGCGACTTGACCACCTTGAGGAAGATTATAGAAAGAACTAGCCATGTCTCGACCAGGTGCAGCAATCCATACACCTGACCCTTCACTCTACAAACAAACATAAAATTCACAAGCAGACTATATGTTAAAATTCACAACAGATAGAAATCATATATATATATATTTATGTATATAATTCAAATATTATAAAGAATTGAAAACTATGGACTTCATTCATATAAAATGCAGGCTATCCGTTACACTTTGTTCTCGAATTTGGTAAGAAAAGAAAGGAAAAGTAAGAATTTTTTTTATTTGTGTTCTTGAAAGAGAAGTAATTAAAGGAAAGATGTAATTTTACACATACACCCTTTTATATTTGTTTTTCTCACTTCCCCTTATGAGGGTATTTGTGTCATAAAAGATCACATACTCCTTTCACATTTTCTATTCCCTCCATTTCTTCCCACATTTGGGAGGAAAGTTAAATGATACTTTCTCTCCTATTCCTTTCCTTTCTTTTCCCTCCTAAAAAGTTTAGAGAACATACATGGTTTTCTGTTTTTCCTTCCTTTTCCGTTCTTTTACTTCAGAAAAGAGGCTTTGAGAACACAGGTATTAAAGAAAGGTGAAGATGTTATTCTGAAAGACTGTTCGGATGATGTATAATTGGTGAAGCAGGCATTAAGAAAGATTAGAGTAACCCGAAAATCTTCTGATAGGGTGCGTTTGATAAGCAAACAAGACTGAACACGACTGGTCGGGCAAAAACAAGGTAGGCAGGTACAAGAATTGTGAAGGTTTTAGGGTTTTAAATTGACATGGGTAGTTTAGTAATTTACCAAGCACATCGCCCTAAATTTTGTTCCACCTATTTTGGTGGGACAAAAAAATGCATTTTTGTCCCACTTAGAGGTTGTTTGGTTGGTTTTCCATTAAATCCTGTATGGATAAATGTCTGTGTGGATTTTTGTCCCACTTAGAGGTTGTTTGGTTGGTTTTCCATTAAATCGTGTATGGATAAATGTCTGTGTGGATTAATCATTTCGTATAGATTGGGAAGGTTTTTGTTTTGGAGGGTTTTTTCATAGATGAGAGGAGTGTGTGTTTTAATTGGGAGGGGCAAGTTTGGAAAAACTTGGCTTTCTACATAAGGCTCCCCCCTAGAAGCGTATTGAAGAAGCCACTTTCGATATCATTAAACTACTATCAAAAAGTCATGTATAGCTGACCGAATAAGTTGTCTCATTAAGCTCATTAAGCTGCTAACAAACAGGACCTTAGTCTTTTCCAGTCCTGGTCTAATTGTCTCATCCAATGTAAGACATCAAGTTTTTATTCTGTTCCATGATTCCATTCTGTCCTATTCTGTCTCGCATACCAAACATGCCCATAAGTGAAGATGACGGAGATGAGAGTGTCTTGAGGATACCAGATAACTAAATTGTCAACTAGAAACGAATGAAACTAACCTGCTGTCCAGTGATGTAGACATTGTTTTCTTTGAACTGGGACCCACCAAGGTCCTCATTGGAGGTCGAATTGCCAGCTGTAGTAGCCGAACCAGGATTATAACTTGCAGGGGGTGAACCATATGGTCCATAGTTTCCAGCCATTCCAATATGTGTGGAGTTACCCGCATTACTTCCTGGCTTGTATTGCGGAAGTGGGTATTTAGGAGTTGCCACTGGTGGAGCTGGATACATACTGCCGGCTTGATGTTGTTGAGGGAATGCACCATTGCTCAAAAACTGATGTATAGCTGGAGGAGGAACATAAAAGGGGGAGAAATATGGACCATATGGAATATAATTTGGAGGATAATGGGGCAAATGAACCCCAGTTGGCTGCCTGAAAACAGGCAATGGTTGCTGAGTGACGGCTATGGAGTTTTGCATAACACCAGCAGTTTGTGTGGCTATTGGTGTTGGACCAGCAGCAGACAACATTAGCGAATTCCCCACCTGCGGTTCATGTTACAAACATTTTAAGCAGTAAATACTGCATTCAAAGATGTGAAGTAAATCAGCACATTTAGGAGATGTTTGTTAGTTTTTCCATTATGCCATGTATCGATTATGCGGTCTGAATGGATTAAGATAAATTGAAGAATTGAAACACAGACAAGACTAAACCGCACAAACCTCTTGAGAAGATTGAGAAGCCTGTGGAGATAACACCGCAACATTTCCATTATACTTGGTTGGAACCCCAGTAGAGTGGAAGGGCGACAAACGACCATCATTATCAGCACCAGGACGATAGAATTGAGCATAATAGCTTGCTGGATCAAATGGTTGCTGAACCTGTACAGAAAAATAATGTACATTTGGTCACTCCATCATAACATCAAAATATTAAAGCCAAAACTATATACTTCTGTCCTTTTTAATTAGTTTCAAGCCTATACTGCAAGAATTCTAGAAACAATTTTGGACATGATATTTTCATGTGGGAACTCTTTGAGAAAACGTTTCAACAGCCACCATTCTGATAAAGGATGGAATATCTCTAATGCAATCTGGACCAAATGCATACTAATTAAGGGTTTGTACATTAGCAGCTTAATGAGACTCACAGCTTATTCAGTCAGATATACATGACTGCTTGGTAGTGGCTTAATGATATAGAAAATGACTTATTCAATAAGCTTCTAGGAGGGAGCTTTATGCAAAAAGCCAAGTTGCTTTCAAAACTGCCCCAACCAATTAAAAAGCACGCTCCTTCCATCTACAAGAAACCCTCCCAAACAAAAACTTTTCAATCTATACAGACAGATTAATCCACACAGACAGCTTTATCCATACAGGACTTAATGGAAAACCAACCAAACAGCCCTTAAAGCTATTTACGACAAATTATGAAGTATAAACTGGCATGAGCAGGCTGAAGATATGTAGAAAAGCAAGTATTAGAACAACTGAAAAATCAAAGACTTACTACGAAGCTTGGAACATGAGAACCATCACGAGACTGAGACTCATTGTTTTCAAAAGATGTCAGCTGGCTCCCAATCATTGGCGGCATGAAGCCAAAACTGAAGTTAGGAGATGTATGAACAACTGGGTATTGATGACCTGAAGTAGGGAGCGAAGTCTCTTGCTTGGATTCTCTGTACTCGGGGGCTGCATTTGATGAGACATCACCTTCAGCTGGTAAATTCTCAGGTACATTACCAAAAGATGTAGGACGGTCAGGACGATCTCTTTCATCAGCAGTTGCCAAAGCATTTTGAGTTCTGAACCAATAAATAATTGATCAGAAAATGTGACAGAACAATGAATGCAAAACGTATATATCCATGAAGCACCAAAATGTGAATGTGAGGGAGATCTACATCATAAAAGTTTCAGATTTCCTACATTTCCAGTTCCGTTGAGATAAGGACTATTTTTGTGGCTTTCATATGTAACTTCCTTTTTTTATTAACCTGGATATCCAACCCGTTATGCGAGCCGACTAATTCCAGGGCGACCACCTGCTTTGCGTAGCCCAGAGTCCGCATTTGAACCTCCGTGGCCACAAGGGATTTTCATTCCTCCTTGAATTTGAACCTGGGACCTCCAGGCACTTTAGACCTTTGGAGCCCAAATTCAAACCAATCAGGCACGGCAGGCATGGGCACGAGTCCACACTAAATCTTACAACAATAAATCAATTGAACAGAAAATATCACAAACCTGGACTGCTGCTCTATACTTTCATCAACCTCCTCAGAAGCCTCGGAACTCTTATCGGTCACAGGACCATTTGAAGTGGAGCTTGCATTTAAACCAAAACTGGCATCAAAACTCCCAAAGCAGAATCCAAGTTTCTCAGCTTCAGGAACATGAAGGTGATTTGGAATGATAACATGTTGATCATCTGAAATGTGTGATTCCTCTAGCTTCCTCTCCAGTTCACTAGTAGCATCTTTTGAATCAAGGTTACTGGATGCAGATGGGGTTGGAGTATGACCTTTAACCGAAACTGCAGGCACCTTAATTGACTCACTGGACACAGTCCCTTGAGCAAGAATCGGATTTGTTGGTTTTGGTTTCCATTCCATACCAGGGCCAACTGCAGGGAAGCAAAGGAACATTAGACTACAAATTTTATTAAAATCAACTATCTGTACAAATAGATTATTCCGATTGATAAAGAATTTAAAAAAAACTATGATTTATTTTTATTTCATATACTAAGTTAATAAGCCCTCCCTTAATATGTAACTCCCCAATCCCCCACTCCAACCACACACACTTGGTGAAATCAGGCAATAAGAATATTCTAAAATCCATTGCAAGCTTTTACTTACAATAGGAAAGAGCTCAAAACACATGTTGCTGAACTCCCCTGTATTATAATTATCATTCATCCATCCAAAAGAAGGTTTGAAACATGAGTAAAACTGTTATTCTTGTTGAATAAGGTCTATTTCTTATATGCAACATCCCCCATTTTGTGAAAGCCTCAATAAGAACATTTTTGTTAGCACATAGAATTCAAACGCACAATTGGGGGCACCAACCTCAGCTCCTGAAACATTCATCCAAATTCCAATACACAAACATATATCATATGATGACATTTTTGCATCGACATATTTATCCTATCTGTTTACTTCATTTATTTTTATTCTTCATCCCATTTTTTTCTTCATAAATCTATCTAAGTTGTATCAAAACATTCAACCCCCTTCTATGCAATCATTTGCTCTCTCTAAATCTTTCGGCACAGAAATCATTTCTATAGATAGATACACAAAGATTAGAGAGTCATTATTGTTGTTTGTGTGCCAAGAAGAAAAAAATGAGTGGGGGTAGGATTTCTATTCCAAACAATGTAAGAAAGACGATCCAGTACATCAAGGAGATCACAGGTAATCACAGTGAAGATGAGATTTATGCAATGCTCAAAGATTGTTCCATGGATCCAAACGAGACCGCCCAGAAGCTCCTTTGCCCCCATTTTGGTTCCCTCAAAATTGATCCTTTCCTCACAGAAGAATATCAGACTGTTTTGGAAAATTCTTAGTTTAGCAATACCTTTTTGCTGCCCAATTGCTTGTTGCAGCCTATTATTATAGTTTGAGGAAGGCCTGGCAATGGAAAAGGAGACATGAGAAGATGTTCCGGGTCGTGGAGACTCCAAAAGCAAATTCTTGCCCACTTCCTGAAGCTCATTGGGTGCCTTCCCTTGCATGGAGGAGTTCCCACCCTCAGAGCCAGCTGTCATGTCAGCATTCATAAAATGATTTGCATCAGATGCAGTACGAAATGACAAGCACATAAATCAATGCATCAAAAGAACATAATTTTTCTATCTCTTTAAATAAGAAAATGGTCCTCACAAGCAATTGATTTGATCTCAAGGGGGGTCTCATGAATCTGTTCAACTGGAGTTCGCTGACTACCAACTTCACGTCTGATTGTACCCACAGGGAATCGTGAATCTTGTGAGGGCATCAAAATAGGATCTGAATCAGACAAATAGACCCCTGGTGAAGGTGATGGTGTCTTAGAAGCTGACGCATAGTTGGAACTCGATATGAGCGGCCCATGTGCACTCCCAGACCCCAAGGCAACGGTGGTGCTCTTACTTGCCTCGATAGGAGGGAGTTGTGTCACTTCAGATGGCTTCTTATCACTTCCCACAGATGAATGCACAGCAGATACAACGCTGGTATTCTCAGAAATTATGTCGGATGAACCATCAGCGACAGCACGGGAAGAGCTGCAAAAAGTGAGGGGATGATATATCTTTTGTCAGAATTTAAACCCGTTTGATACATAATTATTCCTTTGAAATAGGTTATGTCGAAGATCAAATTGGTTAAAGTAGAAGAATCTAGCGAATATAGCACCTTGAAACAGCAAATGTCTCTTTATTCTTCTGACCCTGAGGCATTGATGGATTTGTACGATCCTCTGCACCGTGATTGATTCCATTCTCCTTTGCAGATAGAGACGTCCTTCCACCACCTGCATCTGGAAAAGGAGATCATAGACCATCACTTATGGGGATATAAGACTAGCCTACTTCAGTCACAGGTAGAATTGTACAGATTACCAAAGTTTGAATGCAAATAACATATAATGACTCGTGGCATTGGGATAAAATTACAACCATTACTGATATGATCAACGAAAGCAAATTAAATAAGACAGAAAGCTTTGCTGGCATAAATGTGATGCATGCTGATATGGTGACTTACCATTAGAACTGTGTCGGGATGAGTAGTTCCCCCGGCCACCCCTATTCCCCCGTCCCTGCATCCCAGGTCTCCATTTAGGCTCTGTAGATTCTTTATTCAGATTCTACAAAAAAAAAAGAGTAGGTTAACTGTAAGAACTGATACACTGAAAAATAATACAGTATCTGAAAGGAATATGCTCTTATAAGTATATACATGCATACATATGTGTACACACGATGGACTCAATTTAATGAAACCGAACAAAAAGAAGAAGAAAGACAGGCAAGACATTCTGCTAGATGTTTGAAAAACTACAGTAGGATAGCACGATGTGCATTCTACACACTTAATGAAAACCAAACTAAACCAGACCGGTATATCCCACTCAGGAGTAGGATCTGGGGTGCACATTTACTGAGGAAATTTTTAAGGATATTAGTGATTATATAAAATTACATATAGAATTATCACAGAAAAGTACACATCACTATTTAAGTATGTCTGACTGGATGTTAGTTTGGAATATTAGTGCTACTGTACCAATGTTACCATGTCAAAATCAGAAATATATATATATATATATATATATATATCTAAATTTACACAAAAATGCTGTTAAAGTAACCTTACCTCCTTCTTGCGATCACGCTTCCTCTTAACTTCATGAAATGGATCTGTGTAACAATGAGTTAGACTTGTTATTCTATTTTCAATACATAATAGAAATGACTCCAAGGTTCTCAAGAAGACCCAGGCATAATGTCTTTGAGTTGTACAATGAAACGTAACTGAAGACCTAAGAATTGAAAGAAATGTAATAAAGTAAATGCTGCCCGAATTAAACATGAGGAATCAACAACAAGACGAAAAAGCACCATTCTAAAACCCTGGCAAACTGCATAGCAGGCCTGTGAGTCAGGCATGTACATAACAATCGCAATAAAAATGAAAGAGCAAGAAGTTTATGCAGTTGTAAGCCTCATGGCAGCAAGTGGCATATGAAACTAGATCCTAGTGCAAATGAGCCATGTCATGGTATTTATTCCATGAACAAGGAGCATGCCATCACACATCGCATCCAAACCTTAAGTCTTCTGAATGTAGGCGTGCCACTTCAATATAGAAGGGAGCAATTGTCACATCATTTGTTGACACAAGATCTATCTATGAAGAATCAAAAGTCACAGAAAATCCGCCCCTGATTCCAATAAATAAGAATCGGCACATGGTGAGAAACAAGTAAGCATTTTTGCATCCTAATGGATGGTGAAAGGGGATAGGAAACTAATCCAAGAGCGTAGGATATGGATGGATAATTAGAATGTAGATTGTAGGGTAACAAGTTGATAGAGCTATTGATACCTCAAAGTTAAAAAGAGATTGAATATTACATGTGTATTGATCAAGTAAAGTGATAAAACTAGATGGGTAAGTGAAAAAAAAATCAGAAATAGAGAGCATGTATCTTAGATTATACTTTGAGAAATATAGAACCAGGTTCAGGTAGGCATATAGATAAGCACCTACAAAATGACAGCCAGGCTTCTCTTCTGACTAATTACATATTTGTATATGTTCTCAATACTCTATTAATGTAGAAGAAGCTGGAGGCAAAGCACATTATAAGTTGTAAAAGGAACAGAAAAAAAAGTAGATTGAAGTGTTGTATAAAGTTGGCTATGTAAGGAAAATAAACTAGGAACCTAAGTTATATCAAATGCATCAATGGTGAAAGCCAAATTTGATGAAAATAGTAAAGGGCATAGGGTAACTTGATGACTCTTTACGTGATACTTATCAAATGTTTGAATGAAGATTGCAAGTGCTCACGTGAAATAGGCACTAAGAAAGAAAGTACGTATAGCTTTAATGCATCATGGTATTCCCATAGATGATTTGAGAACCCTAAGGATGAAGTCATAGTATTCTTCACTAGGTTATTTGATGTTATTACTTATTATTGATACAACAGGATGCTAAATGAATGGAAGAATACTACCATGGTCCTATCTACAAGAATATTGATAAGTTAGATAACAATGTAAAATGACCTAAAAGAACATGTTGAAAATAATTGGAAAAACATAAGGGGTGTAACTGGAAAAAAGTGGTAAAGTCCCCTACAACACTACTTAAAGTAGTTATTCAAAAAGTTAGCATATGGCTAACCAAATGGGACTTTATCAATAAGCTCAAACAATAAGCTAGCTTATGATTGTCAACCATGGCCTAAAGATGAAAGGCCAGTTTTATAAATGACGGTGAGACACAGTCGGGGCACATTGTCGGGCAGCCAAAGAACAAGGGTATAGTAAAAGTGCAAGCTTTGTAACGCATGCACGGGTTACAAGAAGACACACAGAACTAAAAAATAAGATGCATGGGAGAAGGTTGGGATGGCAAGGCTTGATTGCTAAAGCAACACTGATTAGATGGTTTGGTCATATCCAATATTTACCTTAGATTACACCTGTAAAGTGGTATTGCAACAAAAGTTGTAGTTAAGAGAGATATAGGTTGGTCAAGATCAGCATCTGAGAGGTAGTGAGGAGAGATCATGGTTAGTGAAATATACCAAAGAAGTTAGTCCATAACCCATATAGACAAGGATGGATGTATATCAGTCTGAAACCCAATGTAGTTCACCTTTCATTGGATTCCTTTCTTGGGCCTACCCCCCACTACTTTAAACAAAAGAGTAGTTGCCATCACAAAAACATGTTCTGCCCTACTGAGTAACTGTATATTTTATGCTCTAAGCTGAATTCAGAGAAGAGAACCATGATAAACAACTAGCTCCAATCGGTATGACCATCGTTAAACTATCTACTACAAAGTAGAAACTCTATTAAAACCATTGGATACCAGACGATAAACTCCTACTTACAATTAAAAATCATTCTAACCAGGGATCACAAAAAGTTGGAACCAATTCAGCTTTAGAGAAACATGAAGAACATTTAAATGTTTATAAAAACTTCAACAACAACTCTAACCAATAGCATGAGCACGCTAGGAGTTAAGAGAAGGAATAAAAACAAAAAATTCCCAACCCAGTCACATAAAACACACAATTAGAAACAAATCCCTAAAAACAACAAGCACCCGGAAAAAATCGCACAAATCGAACCAAGAAAATAGATCCTACGATGATATCAAGAAAGCGAAGAGTACCCTGCAACAGGAGCTTCTGGGCGGTCTCGTTTGGATCCATGGAACAATCTTTGAGCATTGCATATATCTCATCTTCACTGTGATTACCTGTGATCTCCTTGATGTTCTGGATCGTCTTTCTTACATTGTTTGGAATGGAAACCCTACCCCCACTCATCTTTTTCTTCTTGGCACACAAACAACAATAATGACTCTCTAATCTTTGTGTATCTATCTATCTATAGATATGATTCCTGTATATGATTGTCTGTGTGCCGAAAGATTTAGAGAGAGAAAATGATTGCATATAAGGGGTTGAATCTTTTGATATAACTTAGATAGATATTATGAAGAAAAAGAAATGGGATGAAGAATAATGAGAAAGACTTTGGCAAGGGTTTTGGATTGATCCAATTTTGGTTTTCTTTTTAGACAGAAACGGAGGGGAAAGAATGCCAAAACGGAACTATGTGTGCTTTTGGAGTGTAATGTTTTCTTGTGTTTATTTTAAAGAAAAGTACAAGTTTAGTCCCTCAACTATTTATTAACTTGTAACTTTAGTATATTAAGAAGATAATTTACACTTTTGCTCCAAATATGTCAACTTTTACTTCCTTGCTTATGGTCAAACATTTGTTTTCAAAACGGGGTTGTTGGAACTTTGTAGCTGCGTTATGTTTTATCTGGTTATGCGTGAATAATATATAAAGTGATATTGTTTTGATGTAATTTGATGTTTTTGTTGTGGTCGATTTAGTCGTGTGGCTGGTTGTGTTAATGTATGAAAGATGAAATACATGGATTATGTAGTCATTGGTGAGAAGTCTTGGACTCAAATGTAGTTTGCATAAGAGTTGTAATTTAAATAACGCATTCAAATTGGTAAATGTGTCCGTAAAACCATATGATAATGCGGCCCGGTGTTTGGAGGGTTGATTAAGATAGAGGGAGAAGTTGATACTTCAATTAGTTCTTATATTTATGTCTAAGTGTGGCTATAGAAAATACTAGATGTAGCAAGTATTCATCGTCAAAGTAAGGTAAGTTGTAATGCCAAACTCTTGGTTTAGGGTTGTTTGTTTACCTCTTAATAGTTATATTAAGAGGTAAATCTTGTTTGGCAAAAAAAAAATTGTCTCTTAATGGTTCTAAAACTTTCTGAATGATTTTGTATCATGGGTCTTCCTTAACCATTCAGCATCCTAATTTAATTGTAAACAATTATATATATCATTTAATACTATATCATGAGAGTCTCTTAATCATTTTGCAATAAAAACATTCAGCAACTGCCAAACAGCCCCTTAATGTTTGATCAATGATAGTTAATATTGATGAATATGTTTCATTAAGGTCATGAATCCATCAACAAATGAATGTCTCAGTACATAGATGTGATTAATTGGTTATGTTTGATGATGTGTTAAATACTAGTTTGAATGAAGTTTAATTGTACTAGAGGTGGGTATTACACGTTATTGTCATCAAAATGCAAAGAGAGTGAAGTAAACTGACATAGAAATACTTTGTCTGTTCATAGTCTGTGTACAATGAACACGATCTCGAATGCAACTTTGGAGGTTGCAAAGACAATCAGTGTATGTGAGATACAACCCACTAGTAAGGTCGTACAGGTCTAACAATGAAAACTAAGAACTTGCGTTCAAGTTGGCATTTACCAGCCAACGTGAGCTCGTTCAAGTAAGTAACTTGGCATACAACGACTAGTAAAAACAGTATGTGTTAATATTTTTATTCTTGCAATTCATCTTTTATATTTGTATTCCAAACAATTTTTTTGTCCATTCTTGGTTTGTTGTTGCATGAGTTGGTTCAAGCCAATCATAGGATGATTACATGTTTTGACCTTAGCATTGACTTTTTATCATGTTTTGCCCTTTCCTCACTGGCGGAACCAGTGCATGGTAGTAGGGGTCCTAGGCTGGTAGGCCCCCAACAAACCCACCAATTTTTTTTTAAAAGGCTATAAAAAATTTGTTTGGTAAAATTTCTTATTGTGCGTCCAACAATAACAAGGCAAGGACCCCCAACTTAATATTCTGATTGTTAATTGGTACATTTGCAGCACACACTGATATTTTTCGTTCGAAATATAAAATATAAAAGTTATACACCTCGATAAATTAGTAAAAAATCATCTAAAAATCGACCTGGATAATTTATCTTTATTCGGTTAACTGGACCGTTTAAGCCGAAAAGGAAAACTCAAAACCGTTTTCATCCGGATGAATTATTTGGTTTTGAATTTTTTTTCTACACGACTACACCCATAATGTGCCCCTAACTATAAAAGTTTTTGGACCCGCCACTGCGTTTCCTTTCATTCATACTGAATGTCTCGATGACACAAAGTTTGTGCATGAGATATGACTCGCTTTGAGAACACTTATTGAATGTAATATGAGTGTCTTAAGTATTTTTCGAGTGGGCATGACACATTTAGTCATTTAACTTGAGAAAAATATAGTTTTATATGTGTTTGGTACGTTTTGACACTGCTACTAAACATTTTGTAACTAAGCGTCATATTAGTAGTTGAGCATGTCATTTATCAGATGTTAGTACTAATATGTATCAAGATAGGATTTGTTCCATTACGTGTATGGCTCTCGTGTTTCAACAACTGTAACATGACACTAATTACTTAGACTTACAAAGAAACACATCAAGTTTTCAGATAACCAACATATGTGAGATTAAAAGCAATTTGTGTTGTCAGTCATTAAGGCTCGTACAGTTAATAGTTAGTTTGACTTTAACCATCCAAGTACTAAATGCTCAAGCCATATATAGTACCATTTACTAACTAGTTCATGTCGTGTACTTATCACATAGACATAAACAAACATGAACCAATAGGCGAGTTTCATGTGATTTGAGAAAAAAAAAAATACTATACATACATATGCACATGATTTAGTATTTTTAGATACATCGTGTGCATGTTCCATGTTGTTAAAACTTAAAAGCTTTTCAACATGCCAATTGTTTTAGATTACGATTTTATGCATGAAAATGCAGTGTGTACTTGTGAGATCCAAAATTTCACGTGATTAGACATCAATACTATTAAGCATAACACCATAAAGATGCATATATCACAACTGGTACATATATACACATACTAGTAAGATATTACATATACGTATTGTAGGCATTACACTCAGTTGGTTCTTATGCAACATATTGACCCCACAGTATTCATGTTCGTCAGTAAGATCCCAAATGTTAATATGTTTATGTATGGGTGCAAATGACAGGCTATGGCGTACGTTAGCCCAACTCAACTACTTCGACCTATAAATTCATAACTCATTTTCAAAAATTATAATCCAATTGTAAAACCACAAACAATTTCATGTGCTAACCGTTACCTTTCGATGATGGGGGAGAGCCGTATCCATCAAATGTAGTGAACATAAAAATAAGCCACTCAACGTTAATGATCCTCAACTATGGATCATACAGTCATCAAGTTCAACCATCCACAATATTAAGTATGATTACCCCGCTGATCTTAGACATTCTCGTTTGCTATAAATGACAACCATTATGGGCTATAAGGTCATCAAGTTCAACCACCCATAATATGTAGTTTGAGTCCCGCCTGATCCTAGGCATGGCCATCTGCTATAAATGACAGCCACTACGAGTTACATGGTCGTCAAGTTCAACCACTCACGGTCTATAGTTTGAGTCTCATGCTACAGATCACACGTCATCAAGTTCAACCACCCAGAGTCTATAGCTTGAGTCCCCCGTTACATCCGAGTTTCTAGAAACATTACTAGGACAACAATCCCATTCCAAACTATCAAACTAACTTCTATGTCTATGGATCTATTACATTACATTCTAAATTACGTGATTCTAATCGAATGACCAACACACTAAAAGCATGTAACTTACAATTTAATATGTCATAATTGCATATAACTCTAAAAACTCAACAACTCAATTAACTATTAAATAAAAGTCATCATAAACAATAAAAAAAACGTATTTAACCAACGTTTATGCAATCACATGTTCCAAATACACGATTAACTCAAATACTCATTACTGGTTGGGATTAATCATTTTCCAATTGAAATCATACCATTTATATCTCCAAAATGTCCCATAACATAACAATATGCATTTTCAAAATCAAATACACTAAAAATGCATTATCACCAAATAATCTTCCTTTAAAAAAATAAATCATCAAAAAAAAAACCCCACACTTATAATTTATCTATCAAAATGTCCAAAAACCCAAATATATGCATTTTACATGATATATAAAACCAAATACACCCAACATGCAAATTTCATCAACTAATCAACACGATTGATAAATATCAAGACAATATATTTAAGACTCCAAAATGAACATTTTTGACATGTACATGACTTTCACAAAGTAACTTCAACTCACCTTGATAGGTTAAATTAAACCTAGATTACAAACCCAAGCGCTAGCTTCCCAAATGTGAGGATTTGAGATTTTTACGCAATATCTTTCTTATAGAACTATTCAAACCAGCAAGCAAGCTAGAAGATAACAAATCTCTTAAAACATCTTGAAGATTCCGGTTTGGTGAAATAGGCGGGTTTGGATTGATTTGGATGAGAGGAGAAAAGGGCCAGTGAAGAGAAAGATGAAAAAAGAAGGAAAAATCGGATTTAAAGGGGCTGTAGGATGCAACAACTTTCTGCACAGATTTTCTAAAGGGCTCGCGACAAAATGGCTGTGTGGGCATGTGCATTGCAATTTTAGACCAAAGATTGATTTTTTGTTGAATGCGATATTCAACCCAACCGTCACTCACAATACTTCCAAAAGACTGAGTTAAGGCTAAGATACATACAAAACTCGAAATTATCGATACAAAAAATCCGAGTGTTACACATGAAAACAATAACCTTAATTGTTTATGGAGTCAGATTATGATTCAAGCATAAATTCATAGTTTAATTGTTGTTTCAATGTTAAATAAAGTAACAACGCAAATCATAACTGTAGATATACACATATTGGTCCAAAAAAATTTGGCTGGTCAAAGTGGTCCAAAAAAACTCAGTCTGATCCAGATCGGTCCGATTCTAGTAGCACAAGGACCGGTTTTAATATGAATCATTAGTAATTCTATAAATATTTGATATTGGTTGTTAAAATTCAGCTTTATCTTGTAAAAACATATTGATATAGATTGTATTCTTTTCAAAATTACATTTATTATTTTTTTAAACAATTTTTATTTTTTAAATAGTGAGTTGGTTCAAACCTTTGTCTCATTTGACATGATCTTGTCTGACGTCAGGGACGGACCTATAGTGGTGCATATGGTGGCACGTGCCACCGTATTATTCTTCCGTCGAAGGGTAAAAAATTTTGGGTTCGTGAAAGATGCAATCGTGTTAATCTGTTGTGTGTCACCGTATGTATTTTGAAACTACAATGAGAACAAGTTTTATTTGGTATAGTTGATTTGCAAGACTTTTATTCCATCATGGACTTAAGTTCGAATTCTGTTAGTGTCATTTTCTTAGTCAAATGGTGCTACCGTTTGGAAAAAAAAACCCGTATATTTGTTTCTTAGGGGCTGTTTGTTTCCCTCTTAATGGTGACATTAAGAGGGAGCCTCTTAATCGCTAAAAGGCAGAAGCTGTTTGGCAAAAAAATAACCACCTCTTAATGGTGACAATATCCTCTTAATGGTTCTGTGTTTAAGGTGCTCCTAAATGGTTCAGAGGTAAGTTGTTCCATTTTTACCCTCCCACTTCTCCAGCCGGCTACTCATCCCACTCGATCCCGTCGTCTCATCCCATTTTACAGACTCATCTCCCTCCTCCCCATCTTCTACCTTCTCACCATCTTTCCCCTCCTCCTCTCATCTGCCTTCACCATCGCCGTCGCCACCTTCTTCTTCACTTGGCTGGCCACTTTCAAGCTCCTCCTCGTCGCGTTGCACAGGTTCGCCGGTTGTCACTCGACCGTCTCCATCGCCGGCGACCTCCTCCGTCTCCATCGCCGGCGACCTCCACAGCTTCCATCACCGGCAACCTTCCACAGCTTCGATTGTCGCCTCCAGCAGGTATCTTCGATTGTCGCCTCGAATTTAGTCGCCGGTCGCTAGTCCCTTAACAGTAACACAGCTTCGATTTTAAGTAAATGCATAATGAAACTTCCATCGCCGGTCGACATTCCCTTAACAGTAGCACAACTTCGATTGTCGCCTCCATTAGGTTTTCCTTCTTCCATTTTTAGTTGTTAGGATAATGGTAATTTGTTCAGGATCCCACAATTAAAAGGTTAAAAAAGAGAGGGTTAAAATGGTAAATTTGCATTTATTCAGAAAACAGTTACCAAACAACATTATTTCATTCAGTACTTAACCATTCTGACCTCTTAACCATTCTGACCTCTTAACTATTCTGCACTAAATCATTCAGCAACTGCCAAACAGCCCCTTATAGTCAAACGGTGCTACCGTTTGAAAAATTTTATGTATAGTTTTTTCTTATAGTCAAATGGTGCCACCGTTTGAAAAAAATTATGGGTCCGTCCCTGTCTGACGTAGTCTAATTTTTATATCTAATTCATGCTTTATTCATCTTAAAAAAGATCGGCCTGTCTCCAAAAGTTTGGATTGATTAAGCAATAAGGATCGACAATCTGGTCTAGTCTAACTTGATGACGTTATGGTTAGGTTTGAACAAGCTGGTCTTTTTGTCTATCTACAAGCATTATTATAGTGTATTCGTACAAATTGAACAACTGATTACTCCAATGCCATTAATCTGGATAGAAGAAACCACCATTGACTTTAGAGAAGCCCAACACCAGTGGCCATTGTTCGGTTTTCATCAAGGGTCGATGAACTACTGGTCGTTGTACATCATGGCCGTTGATAGATGGGGGTAAGGGATGCGACCTGCGAGCAGTCATTGGTGAAATAAGGAAGAGAGAAAACACAACAATCACCGACTTGCCAATGAGAATCAGTTTTGTCGGGTATGAAAGAGAACAAAGGGAAATCACGAGCGAGAGAAAGAGTAAATTTTTTGGTTATTTCTAATAATAACAACTTTGTATATAAAATGACAAAAACGTCCCTCGGGCATATGGAAAGAGTTAACTGAAATCTAACGAAGTTACTTAGGGACCATATCAGTTAAAAAATGCGCATAATGAGGTCTTTTCTGTAATAAAAGAATTTTAAATTAAAAACCACATGGACCAAATATGTAATTGTCTATTTTTCACATAATTAAAAACCACTTCCAATTTCCAAAACACCCCCAAAAGTAAAAGTTGAAAACTGCCCACTAACTTGAAAAGAGCCCAAACCCTATTTTATCACCGAAAAACGCTCGCCGCCCTGCCTTAAGAACCCAACTTCACCTACGTGCCCTAAATTTCTCGAAGAGTCGGACCGCCAAATCTCCGATTCAACAACTTATCTTCAATGGGTTCCAAGCGATCTGACTTTGGCGACGGCGCCAGTCCTGGGTTCGTCATCTTTCTACATCTTTCTTGTTTTTTTTTTCGTTCTTCTTACATATTATTAGCGATTGAAACTTGAAGTCTTGATTGATGGATTCGTTGCAGGAAGATTTTTATTGGGGGTTTAGCGAAAGACACCACTATAGGTTAGTCTCTGTTTTTATGATGTGTTTTTGTAAGTTACTGAAACTGTATCTGATTTATTTATGTTTGCATGTATATAGACACGTTCGTTAAGTACTTTGGAAAGTATGGAGAGATTACGGACTCGGTTATCATGAAAGATCGACAAACCGGTCGGCCGAGGGGGTTTGGGTTTATCACATATGCAGATCCTTCTGTTGTTGACACTGTTATTGCCGAGACACATGTCATTAATGGAAAACAGGTGAGATAATTGTTGTATATTTGCATTATATTTGTTTATGTAGTAGAATTCAGAGTAAAGTTTCACATTTTTTGACATTGAAATTAGAAAACAATTAAATCTTTACTATGAATATATGTAATGTGAATGAGACTAGTTTGCAAGTTGATGACAAGTATTCCAAAAAATACAGATTATCAGGTTGTATGGATTAATCACATTTAGGTTATGCCTTATACTGAAGCAGCTTTAGAGTTTGTTGTAAACCTTTTAGATTTCATGTTGTGTACATGTTTTGAGAGTCTATAAGCTCCATAGCATGGTTATTGATGCATCTTTAAGAATGGCTTGTATTTTAAATTATTATCGCCGATCATGTAGTTTTATGTAAATTGAATCATGTAGTATTGGAAACTGGAAAGACCCTTTAAGAACAATATCACTGGTTACCAGTTTTATTGGACCTGCACCCATTGTATACGGTCTTGATTCCTTTATCTCGTATGCAGATAGCATGGAGTAGTTCTATTATCACTTAAACTTTATCGACTGCAATAAACCTTTTTTGTATACGACCAACTATATTATATTCTCTATTCTCAAGTTTTGCTATATGTCCAGCTTCAACTGTTGATTTGTGCATTGATGCTTGTTGATCATTTTCTGGCAACTTATATTGCTTAGTTTCAAGTTGCAAAGCTGCAGCTTATGGATTTATGCTTGTGATCTGTACAAATGATTGTTCAGAACTCTAGTATTAATTAGTGCAAGTTTTCTGAGAGATGATTAGATATTAAGTATCTTGTTTTAGATATGAATGACTTGCATATTCTTTTCTAATATTCCGGAGTATATACAAATGAAAAAAACAACAGAACAGAGAACAAATAAAAAATAAAAGGAAAAATGCTGAGACATAGGGAGATCCTGAGATAACAGTTCAGGGTTAACATGATAGTGCTAAAAACAATTCAATCAATTGAAAACGGTGGAGGTGAACATTTGATAAAGCCATAAACAAAGATTCCATCAATATACCAGACTAGAAAAATTACCAGCAGCAAGAGATAGGCAGCCGTATGACTGTGTGAGGGTTAATTGGATCCATAACAGTTATCAGTTTGGAAGAGCACATATAGTATCAATACATGTTTTAAAATCGCATACCATTTTGGATTTTAGGAGAATTGGTAACACAGCAACATCTATAGAATCAAGCATTGGGAAGCATAGTGGTATGTCAAAATCTTTAATAATAGCACTAGACAAAATAACTACTAAGAGGGAGAAACTTGAATGCAAACAACAAATAGAGGATGATACTGGAACCTAGGTTACTATGGGGTGGGGCGGTGGGGAACTGAGGTTAATTCTCGTCTATTTCATCTGCTTTGATACCCTCTCTTGGGAGGTTCTAGTTATGTTATACGTTTTTAAGGTTTGTTGAATTTTTTAATTTTGACGCTGTTTGATGCATGACATAGGCTTGGTGCAGTTGGCTGTGACTGCAACTTGTAGCTTCATAGCCTGCTTCCTCACTCCATCGTGCCTTTTGCTTCTTTATATATATTTATTATTAATTTCAAATGCCAATGCGGAATCAAATTCTCTGTAGTTTTCTGTTTTTTAAAATCATTTCCAGACTTGACTTAATTCGTCTTAATCCAAATCATGTATGATTTGGAGTTCATTGTTGATAGTCTTGTTACTGACTTGCTAGAATAAATATTTGGACAGGTTGAGATCAAGAGAACCATTCCTAAAGGCTCTGCTGAATCCAAAGACTTCAAAACGAAAAAGATATTTGTTGGTGGTATTCCAACATCAGTTACTGAAGGTTAGCATATAAAATTTTATATTTCCAAATCTCTCCCCTGTTGCCATTTTCTTATTGTATTTGATCCAAAACGACACTTGCCTTATTTTTTGTGTTCAGATGAGTTCAAAGGCTTCTTCTCAAAGTACGGGAAAGTAGTTGAGCATGAGATTATCCGAGATCACGCGACAAAACGTTCTCGAGGGTTTGGATTTATTGTATTTGACAGCGAACAAGTTGTTGATGACATTCTAGTCAATGGAAATATGATTGATATGAATGGTACACAGGTGAGTTACATTCAGGATCTTCTAAGCTTATTAGATGTTCATGCATGCAGTTCTACGAGGCATGGAACAGAAATATGCACTTCATATTTGTTGTTACGTCCGGATATCCATCTTAATAAGATTGTAAATGTTGGTCAAAGTTACTTTTTTGGATGTGTAAATTGTTTTCAGGTGGAGAAAAAGACAGGTTAACATGTTTCTTTGATGTAGGTTGAGATCAAGAAGGCTGAACCAAAGAAATCCTCAAACCCAGCACCTCATTCATATAATAGGGAACCTAAGGGACGTGGATACAGCGATAGTTTTGATGGATTTGATGATTCTTATGGTGGGTATGGTGGTGGTGGTTATGGCCCTTCTTATAGGTCGTTTGGAGGACTTCCCAGTAGGTTTGGGGACTATGGGCCATATGGACCTGGTGCAAGTGAATTTGGCAGTCGCTATGGTGACTTTGGAGGTGATTATGGTGGTTATAGGGGAGGTGAACCACCTCTTGGTGGCTACTCTAGCCGATTTAGTTCCTTTGGTGGTGGAGCGTTTGGTGGAGGATATGGGGGGAGTGGGCTAGGAGGGTATGGCCGTGGTGGTGGTGGTGGTGGTGGCGGCTATGGGAGTTATGGTGGGCCAGGAGGCGGTGGTAGTTATGAGTCGGGTGCAGGTTCAGGTTATGGTGGAGCAGGAGGGCCATATGGAAATAGGGCAGGTTATAGTGGTGGCGGTAGTCGTTACCACCCTTACGGCAGGTAGACAATTATCCTTAGCTTCACTTGGATCTTCTCCTCCTCCACTTTTGGTTCAGAATCAAATAGACATTAAAATCCCTTACAGCAACAAGACACTCACTAGAAGATCAGCAGGAATTTATATTATTGGCTCCATGCTTAGTGAATCAGAGTCCGCTTTTGCATTTAGCTAGATAGCAGGAATCATCCCTATATGCTGTTTTAGCGAAACAATAGAATCGAATCAGAAACCTTGTTATTTGCGTGTATTTTTTGTAAGGGATTATCGTTTCTTAGATGTATGTTTATGATTTGCAGAAGATCTTAAGGGTTGTTATTGCTATTAGGCCAATCTTTTAGCTAATTGACCTCACCTCATTTAAGTATGGTTTTTGAAATCTATATGATGAGATCTCTTCATGTAGGTCACTCTGCTGCTTTTGTAGGGTATATTGACCCTCTCTTCAGGTAATTGATGTAGGATTCTTCACTTTTGCACAAGCAACTCTTTTACTGTTTGGGGTAGGGGATAGGTCTGCATACATCCTACCCTAGACCCTACTTTCAAGTAGGATATATTGGGTTTGTTTCGTTTAGTTTTACTAGCTGGGATTTGTTGGTGTTGCATAGTTTCTGCAACCAGTTTTGATGCAGTTTCGGTGCTTTTGGTACGTGCGACAACGTGATATAACAAAAAATTGGTGTACCAGGTCTGACATGGCATTACATTTAGTAAATTGCTAAAATATTCATGCCAGTGTAAAATCTTAGAACCTTCCACAATTTTGTCACCCGCCTATCTCATTGCCTTTTTAGACCCATATGATTCACTTTCACGTGTCCTGCCTTTTCAGTCCCACATGAAGCTTTTTAAACCCATATGATTCACAATTGTCGGTCTTTTTTAGAGTTTGATAGGAACTTCTTGATTTCGCTCTCGGGTTTCTTTTCTTAAATCTATCTGGCGAGAAACAAGCAGCATCATGTTGGCATTAGTCACTCTTTTGAGTCTCCCGTGATACTTTAAAAACCATCATTTAGGTTATGCTTAGAATCCTTATCGGTTGTAAGAAGGCCGCTTGATGTGTCTTGATTTGAAAGGGCACCGGATAGTGTGGATCGCGAATCAACGACCTCTAAAGGAAACATTTCGTTGCCTTGTTGTATTGCTGATCTTGGATGTACTGATTTCGTTTTCTGAGTTTATCGTATGTATACATGGAAAATAGATGTAACAAATTGTCTCCTGTTGGAAAAGCTGGATACAACGATGGCTTATTGACGATAAAGCTTCGATTTGGGAAAATTTCTTTACTTTTTGTAATTTACAGGAAATTATAAGTTTGTGCGATGAATTTGAAAATTTATTCTATGTTAAGTTGAGAGATAAAAAGTGGTGAAATTTGGCAAATTGTTTGAAAATTATTGTGCCGGATTTGGCAACAAGAAGATTCGTCTTTCTAGCGTTTGGATTGTGAAAGTTACATGATATAACAAGAATTTGAAGAGTTGGTCGACAAGAAATGAAAAGAAAAAAAGTAAAAAATTGAAATAATCGGTGTATTTGGTTTATTTTCGTTCGTTTAACTTAACCGAACAAACGAACGAAAATCTTTGTGTTCGTGTTCGTTCGTTTAGAAATCAAGTGTGTTCGTTTATGTTCGTTCGTTTATGTTCGTTCGTTAACATGCTAAATGAATGAACATAAACGAATGGGCTAAACGAACATAAATAAATATTATTTGAATTCAAGTAATGAACAAAAGCTTATATATTAAATTTAATATATAAACGGATATGAACGAACGTAAACAAACGGTAAATGAACGAACGTTTACGGACATAAGTGAACGAACGAGACTCTTGTTCATGTTCGTTCGTTTAATTAAATGAACAAAAAAAATTGTTCATGTATGTTCATTTATTAAATAAACGAACATAAACGAATTTTCTGCCGAACGGTTCGCTGAACGTCCGATTCTTTTACAGTCCTAATGTTAGTTGTTACATGATAAATCAATTTCATTTGATGAATTTAGTAGTTGTCTGTAAAATTAGTTATAACTCTTAAATAATAAATTAGTCATATTTACTACTTAAAAAAACTAGCTACTAATTTAGAAGGCAATGTAAAAATGACTTAAATATTGAAAAATTACTCAATTATAACATTATATATTATAATTAGAAA